ATGAAGATCGTTATTGCGAAGCGGTTCGGCTCGTGCCACATTTTCGATCACTTTTCCATATAAAACCTTATAGTCATTATATGAGCAATTGTGGTGTCTAATATGTACAGCATTTGACGATTGTTTCACATAATTTAATCAAAATTTTTATTATATAATATATGATATAAAGAAACATAAGAATATTTTGAAAATTCTCTTTGCATTTTTGCAGAAGTCTTTAACAAATAAACAAACAAGAGCATGAAAATGCAAACATGGATAAATCGGCTCAAAATGCGATGTCTGGCAGGAGTAAATGCACATTATGGATGGATTATGGTATAACCAGGTGCAGCAAATGAAAAACAATGCATGCAATAAAACGAAATAACATAGAAACGTGAAAACTTACAGTTCGGTAAACAGAAAATGTCTAAAATGCAACAAATCATTAAATACGATGCATTTATGACATAAGGGTTCAATATCGTAGCCTCTATGGCCGGCAAAGGAGTGCAAAACAAATTCAATCAACAACCCTTTCGTTTTCATTTGTCGTCGTAAAAAAAAAAATAAATAAATAAATAAATAAAACCTTAACATAGGACAACAGTTGCAATAGAACAATAAAAATAATAAGATGTATAAAAATCACAATTTTTCCTATAGAAAATCTAAAAATTTATCTGACATTTTCCACCACCATTTATTTATTGCCTTTTTTGCTGTCGGGAAAAGAGTTGTTTTCCATTCACGGTTTTTTTTTCCTTTTTTTCTTATTTATTTATTTTTTTTTTGACGCCGAAAAAAAAAAAAAAACACAATTGTCGTATCCAAAAATATTACGATAATCCTTTTCCGTTGCAGAACAATATAAAAGGGTCATGAAAAAGTCGACATATATTTTCCCCATATTTAAACAAAAGTAAAATCATTTTCACCCAGGACATTTAAAAAATAACGTTCGTACACGCACATATATGTATATGTAAAATAAATTAATTAAATTACCTTGCGCCCTCTTGCGACTGTTAACCTATCTATCTGAAAGATAATGTACGCACATGTTTCGATGAAACTACTAATGTTCAGACAAGATTTATAATGCTTTCGTTCCAGCAATAAACAATTTTTGGAATTTTAGAAAACGAAACCGGTTGACCACGATTAACTGTCTCTCTAAATGAAGTTTCGAGGCACAATAATTAGGCGTGGAAATGGTAAAAGGAATTTCAATATCTTATCTTTACCGGGAGAAGGGAATACCTTTTTGTAACGACTTTACTTATATTATGTGGCCACTGATGAAACTTTCTATTTGTCCTGGACATCAATCAGTAATCAAGTCTAAACTATTCTCTTCCTTGTCTTCTTTATCTTCGAATCTCACTCTTATCTCCTTCAATCCGACTTAGATAATTAGGTTTATTTGATGCTATGAAAATTTTAAGTTCTATGAAAATGCGAGAATTTAGTTAGTTGGAATTCATTCACTACTGTATATTTCATCCATTCAGTGGTCGCTATTCGACTACGAAAACTACGTCTTACAAACATGAGCTCTTCACATTGAGCTCTCCTTAAATAAAGCTAAGTTAGAGTTAGGTTTTATTAAATGGTGGTCTAAAGCATTCGGCAACTCGTACTCGTAAAAAAAAGTAGACGAGGCAATGCTGTAGCATTTGTGTAAATCTATGGAAGAACTGACCACACTTACTCAATATCCTAATGTATCAAAATGTAATTGTTTTTTCAATACCTTTATAAGGCGCGGTAACACACTTCAAAAACTTATAAAGTATATATAGATTCTCGACCAGTTTCAAATTTAGAATACACACATAAATGTCGATATGTCCATCTGTCCGTCTACAAAACTCTGTAGTATCTGTGGTAAAGATTCTCCCGTAAGGGAAAATGAAGATATCGCCTAAAAATTTGCAAAGGAATTTGGAAGTGACTTCAACTTTTCAAAGGATACGCTTGCAACGTCCACATGCTTATACGACAAAAACTTTTATTTTACAATACCATATTATAGAGCATGAAAATTTTGTTCTTTTACTTCTTTTGTCTTTTTGGCGACAACTGCGATGGGTATAAAAGATTCGGTCCCGACCGAATTTACTTTTCTTACTTTATTTTGTTTTATTTATTTTCCGTTATCTACTTTGCCATAATATTTAATATAAGAGCTATTTCTAAAAGTCAATCGAATTTTGTTGTCAATCCATTTCAGCTGAATTTCACGCGTACATAAATATATAAATCAATAAATAAATAGCTGAAGGCAAAAAAAGTACACTCTAGATCATTTGTTAGTAATTAAGAAAGTCTTAGAAGAGAACAATCTGAAAAGAGCGATGATTTTTCATATGACATTTTCAAAAAGGCGTTATATGCTTCAGTCCGATCAAATCTATTTTCAGTGGTATTCGTCTCTGGGACAAAACACGTCAGTGTATCAAATCTGGTCAAAAAATTTTAAAAATTCCGATCTGTAGGTTGAGTAGAAAAATACATAAACAAACATTAACCTGAAAGACGGACAGACATGCTTATATCGATTCAGAAAATGAATCCAAATGGATCCGTAATATAAAATGCAAACTTATTTTAAATTCTTCTTGATGTGACATACATCCGCGAAAACACAATAAAATAGTAACTTGTGAGTAATGAGCATATAACCAAGCCCTGTTCCTTTTGGAAAATAGATCGGTTCTCAGCTTACGTAGTACTGTAGCCGTGTTCTTTGGCCGATTTTATTATTCCGGTTTCAAGATATTTCTGGCAATTGAAGCTCCATTTTTGCGGTCAGGAGAATTTTTACATTACACAGATGCAGAGACGGACAGAGAGACAGACATTGATTCAGAATTTTATATCGACCAAAAAGATATATACATTGTCGGGAGATTCTCTGATATTTCCTTTTGGACGTTAGAAACGTTTTGACAAATCCATCTCTCGGTAATGGGTGTAAAAAACCGCATTTTTTACTGCCTTTATGTACCATCGTCGATGTAAAATCATATAGAATTAAGCAGATGCATTTAGAAGCCAATGACGAATGTATAGTACGCTAAAAAAGAGGAGATTTCTGGATAGCAAAGGCAAGGATAATACAATAAGATTACATCTATATCGCTGCTAATGAGACAACTTGCAAGACAAAATGGTTAGGCAGAACAGCACATGACAAGGCTGCTCAACACAGGCAGCCATGTTGCGTTCGTACAACGTACCTGTCGTGACAATTCGCGAGACATGCTCCTATCTTGACTAACAAATCAATGATCGTAGGTTCAAATCTCAAGTGAGATAGAGTTTTCAATAAAGCCGATAGACTTAGTCATTTTTATTAGGTGTTTGCGAAAATTTTGATCAACAATTTCTATAAGTAAAAATGATAAAGAAATGGGACACACCGGTGTAAATAACGGTCAAGTTCGATGCTTTTGATCTTCCTCTACTTAAAATAAGAGTTTTTCTTTTAATATTATTTCTTTATTCGGCACATGTCGACGTGAATCATGGAACACTCAAAATTCTTTTTCCTCCAAATTCACTACTTTTGTTGTTTATTTGCAGAAATCTGCTGCCGAAGTTCACCAAACATGTTCAGAGGCTTATAGTGATGCTGTTCCATCACGACCCAATTTTCGGTTTTGGTTTCAACAGTTTGAAATCGGCGACACGAATTGACGGAAAATACCGTTTTGGCCACGAGAGTTCTCCAGGACACATTGCTGCAGCTCGAATGGGAAGTCCTGCTACACCCAGCGTATTCACCAAACATGGCGCCTCCTGGTTAGCACTTGTTCAGATTGGTGGAGCATGCCTTGGTTGGCACGCGAGTCCGTGAAGTTGAAGAAATATGAACATGGATCGATGTGTGGATCGCTTGCAAACCGATATAAGTCCTTTCCACTTGACGTCGCCATGTTTGCGAAAATATTGTAAAATGTTGTAGAAGGTGTTGGAAACTATTTTAATTAATATGTAGTGACACCACTTAGAAATTAAAGGTTCTTTGGTTTATTGGATTACTTTAGATTCTTTATTCTTTAACTTTCGTTTAAAATACTTGCTTATATTATGATGTATCTAATGTATGGTCAGTATCTTATATAAGAAATAACTTAATGCTAACTTAAGCAATATAACTAAATTAGGGTATCGCTTAGAATAATAACGTAAGCATATAATATTATATTAATAGCTTATTACTAGAATTACACTATCTTAATTAGGTTAGGTGTAAAATGTAAACTTAGCAATAACTTGTAAATTACGGTACAGTGCGACAAATCGATAATACTACAAATATATGTTGTACCAAATTTCCACAACAAATGCATTTTTCAAGTGAAAAAGTGATCAATATTTCTGCAAACACCTAGTATATGAATAGATTTATAACCTCGGGCCGTTTAGAAAAATCGAATTTCCTACACACCCAAATTTTTAAGTATAGTCACATAAAAGTGGCTATTGGGAAAAATGTATTTTTCAGCCGTGCAATAAAAGACCCGTCTTAAAAATTATTTTTCTTAAAATTTCTTTATTCAAAATTTAAAATCAAAATGAAAGGGCAACAAATAGGTAATATCCACTTTAAAATGAATTGTGGATACCCAGCAAATATATATGTATATATAATATATATATATATATATAAAACCGCGTTGCTCTTATTAACAGAGCCTATGCTATCTGGTGAATCGAGAATGCTTCGGAAATCGATTTGCCAAATATTTGCGCCAAATGTCATATCTACACCTACTATAGTTTGTACTTAAGAAACCTTTGCTTTTCTTCTATATTTGCCTTCCTCGCGGTAAGATATTTAGCTGACGGTGCTAAAGTATATCATATCTTAAGAATCAGCAAGAAAACCAGTGACTTACTTCATCAATTGTAGTTTACATAGATACTCATCAAATTTATTTAGATTTATAGTTTCTAATTGTAGCACTTAATTTTGAAGACACTACTCATTTTCATAAATAGTTGATGACTCGGAGATTTAGAAATGCGGTCAGACCGACAAAGCTGCATAAGTTTTAGGCAAAGATATGTTAAGTAAAGTTGATGTTTTGTACATTGTTGATAACTAGGAAGTATTTGAATGCGACGAAAAAAAATTCACAACGTGTGCGCAATAATTTCATTAAAGTCCATTCGGACTTGTTACGTACATAGAGAAAATAAAAAGAAATGAGCTACGTATATATGTGTATATATTTTATAAAATGCCACATGCCATATGCCACAATACTTTTCAGTTGTTCTTTTCAAAATACTTGGCTTTCTCCCTTGGATTGGGTACAATCTGCAATTTAAATGCGCATTATTAACGAAAAAAAATAGCGGAAAATTAAGCGATCTACGTACAGTGTCTGCACCTGGCTTCCAGCCTGCTGGGCATACTTCGCCCTTAGTATCTGTATATTGGAATGCTTGTACTAATCGTAAAGTTTCATCGACAGATCGTCCGACCGGCAAATCGTTCATCGTGATTTGACGCACAATCCCGAGTTGATCAATAATGAAAAGCCCACGTAATGTATGACCCAAATCGTCTAAATAGACACCATAATTTTTACTTATTGTATGAGTTAAGTCAGACAGCAATGGTATTTTAACATTGCCCAAGCCTCCTTCCTTTCTAGCAGTATTTATCCAAGCTAGATGCGTAAAATGCGAGTCAATGCTACAAGCGATGACCTCAGTATTAATTTCACGGAATTCAGCAATACGATCGGAAAAGGCGATAATTTCTGTAGGGCATACAAAGGTGCTAAAAAACAAAAGTTTCGTGTAGCCAGCCAGTTATACAGTAATTAACCATGACCATCTTACAAATCCAATGGATAAAATAATAACACAACATATTTTCCTATGTATTGATTCAGAGATAACTTGATGAACTCTTTATCCATCACTGCTGTACCTTCGAAGTAAGGTGCCGGCTTGGAAACTAATTAGATAAATGAATTTCATCAATGTTTATCAAAATGGTTAATGGTTAGATTAACTTACTGACTGCCTTGGTAGTTTGTAAGGTATGATCTCCCTTCGAATTTTCAGCTGGATAAACCGAACCACCGGCGAACGAATAGCAAGAGTCGACATCTTCCGCGAAGGAACTACAGCTTAAGAAGGCCAAAAGCGTTGATAATACCCAAATTGTTGCACTAGGAAACATAATCAGGCAGTTTATTTTCCTACAAAGCAATTTAACACTTAAACATTTAAAAATGCTACAAAGATTTTTTAGACTACTCTTACTTTAATATACCGCGGATTATAATACAAAATGCGTTAGTTACACACTTTCCAGCTTTGCGTTCTCCACGTAATCAAAAATATAAATGCGATTTTATTTGATCGTATTACGATTTAGATCCACGTAACCCATGTAAAACCCACTTAGTATATATTAGAGTCCACGTATTTCTTTTTCAACTAGTTTTTAGATAAATAATTTAATAGTGTAAAAAATTCATATGCATTTTTTAACGTTAACAGTATGCGTTGATAACGCGGCGAACGTGCTATCAAAAACTTTAGTAGAAAAATTTTGAGAGAAGTAAGCGTGGGAATACTGCAGACACAGCTGATTTAAGTAAAAAAACTGCAATTTACTGGATAATCAATTTGTAAAACCTTGACAAAGCTGTTGCATTAGAAAGGTTAGAAGGACATATAAGCCACAAATCTATTGGCTTAGTCCATCTCCATTCAACATACCAAAAAAAAAAAAAAAAAGTTAAAGTAATTGAATCCTTTCAGAATACTGTTTTGGGTTCGAGTATTTATTATTGATCGAAAATGTGATTTTAATAAAATCTTAGTGGAATGTGTCAAAATACTAGCAAAGAAAGAATGCATAGTCTAGGGAGTAATCGTGTAGCTGAAATTTAGGTTTCACTTTCGTTTTTAGTTATTTAACAAAAACTGCTGCAAACAAAACCGAAAGTTAAATTTTTCATATATGAGAAAGAGGCCCTTGCCCTTTACAATAACCAATTAACTTTAGTTGATATCTGATCCAACCAAAAAAAAAAAGAAATATGCAATTTAAGGATTAATCACGTACCCAAAAGTTTAGCTTTAACTTTCGTTTTTAGATATTTAACAAAAACAGCTGTAAACGGAACCGAAAATTAAAATTTTCATGTACAACGAAGGCGTTCTTGGTCTTTAATATACCAAATTAACTTTAGTTGATATCCGATCGAACCAAAAAGAAAAAGAAACATAATCTAAGGAGTAATCACGTAGCTGATCGTTAGATTTCACTTTCGCTTTTAGCTATTTAACAGAAACAACCGAAAGCTACATTTTTCATTTGTGCCAAAGGATCCCTTGGTGAGCGAAAATGGAGCGTAATAAGAAAAATTGCAACAATTATGAGCTACTTTGTATGTTAATGCCGTCGAGATCAGTAAAAGTGTGCGCCAATAAGCCGTTTTATCATATTTTGGATCTCTTTAAACACCTCGTAAACTCAATACATTCACCTTCCGCCGTTTTAACTAGTCCGATGTGCGCTATTGTGCTATCAACAAAATTATACCCCATGTGTTGTGTGGCAGTTTGCCTTAAATTTCTCCTGAACGGTTTTTACATAATTCAATAAGTTCGTTATATTCTAATAATTAAAGGGATTTTCTGCAGACTAGCACGTGCATAATTGTACTCCCCGATCTGATAAAACACAGTAAGCTGTAGAAGAAGGAGTAAGGTATAATGTATAAGGAAGTAAAGTGCAATCTTTTGAAGTTGTGTTGGATCATACTATGGGAGTAATCACGTATGATACATTTAACTTTTGTTTTTGCCAAAACGGCCGAATACCAATGCGAAAGCTAATTTTCAGGTAAGCCGTTAATCCTCATATCTAAGTCCGCTGTCCCGCCCGTGTTACATATCGATTTAAAAAAGTGTCTAATTTTGCCATAATTGAGGCATGATACACGGCGACGTTATCTCTATTTTCGGATTGGGACTTAAACTTTCCCGCCTTATTACAAAATCATATGGGAATTGACAAATCATATGCTTTCGCATACATACATACAAGAAAACGAAAAGCAAGAAACGCCCAAGTCTCGTTTGTTTTAAATTTTAAAGTTATTTATCTAACTTTTTGGCTTAGTCCATCTCCGTTCAACATACAACAAAAAAAAAAAAAAAAATCTAACTTTTTTTTATCTTGCAGTAATATACTCTTTTTTTATGTTATGTGATTTGCAATTTTGTAACAAATGAAAAACACGCAATAAAGATTAATTATTTTAAACTTGGAATATATTCATCAACTTATTTTATTAAAGAGTAATTAATGGTAATTTTCAAATTACGGACCAATTAATGTAGGCCTTCGATGGTATTATAAAATTCAAGCAGATTATGGAGATTAATCTCAGGTTAATGACTAAAATTCGAGATTAATAACAATAAAATAGCGAAATTACATATGGAACATATTTCATAAAAATTATTTACTTAATTGTTAATAGAAACACTTGCCTTTATAATTATAAAAGAGACATCCTGATCAAAAGGCTATTGCAAGTTTTCTATGTAAAACGCCCATTTTAAATGAAAACGAAAGATATTGCACACTATCATCATACGCTACCAAATCATGATTCATTCGAATGAATTCAAATGTGCTCTTCATACAGAAATATTTCCACAAGTGTAAGAAAAGACCCGCGCTTTCTGCTTTATCATATGGAATGTACGCAACAGAATATTATGACAATAAGCATAGACTAAGTGTTGAGAAACTGTTTTTTTATAAGATTATGAAGAAAACGAAAGATTGGCTTACTGCGAACAATAACTGTAGCGAGCTTAGACGCAGTTTACTTGAATTTACATTGAGAGCCTTATGGTAAAAGAATTCGAAATTGTTGGCCCACTATTATGACGATTTAGAATATAGTAATCGCAAAATCGGCGCGTTAAATATAAATATTACAATAATTCGACAACATAAATAGGCGGCATTTAGAATAACTCAGGTGTGATATGAAAAATTCGATAAAATTTCTCAAATACCCATGTGTAAGGAAATAAAAATAATAAATTTATGAATAATAAAAGTAAACATAATAATAATCTACAGTCTGATTTTTTTTTGATAATAAAAAAATTCTCGATATTTTTTGGCGTACATATATATAGAATGTACAATTCTTCAACTTTTCAAAATAGGCGATCAAAAAAGAAACTAATTATATATGCTACATATATACATATAGCTGCGGTATGGTAGCTTTTAGTACATACATACCATAGAGCACAATTTTCTTAAAAATAGCATTCTTTCTGCTTCTACTGAGAGAATATGACGTCATGCTAATAAACTATTATCAAATGAGAATAAAAGAGCAAGTATAGAAAAGGCTGCTATGTAACAGCGTTACTACTGTTGTTGATAGCAGATACACAAAAAATCCTAAGAGTTTTCTAATCTCAATTTCGGACAAAATGTTAGAACGTCTATGAGAATGAAAGAACAAACATAGAAGTGGCTTGTAATTAACAGCGTTACTACTGTTATTGATAACACGTACAGAAGAAGTCCATAAGACTACGATTTTTCTAATCGCGTTTTCGAACAAAATATTAGAACATCTACGTATTTCGCTGTCTCCGCTAGAAGGTTAACTGGCGCAAACGCAGAGAATTTAAAAAATTAAAGATCCTATTGCTTATATCGAAGTCAACAACTAAATTTATTTAGTTGTCTTTGCTTATACTCAAACATATTATAGTCTAAACAAACGTGCGCATAGGCACACGCACACAACAATTTCTGCTAAAGCGCTAATGCAGCCACGCATAATTTTATTCGGTACATCGTAACGAACATAACCAAACATTTTCAATAAAGTTAAAAAAGGAAAGAAAAGCCACAATATGCTTTATTTATTTACTTATATGCTTTATTCCCTACTACTGTTGGTACTTTTTGTTGTCAAATTGTCAAATTGTTTGTTTGTATAGAATTTCAACAGATGTTTTTTATTGATTAGCGGAGAATTTACCGACGGCTTTGCAATTAGTATAGAATATAAGGTTGGTTCTGCAAATAAGCATAGAATTTAACGTTGGTTCTGCAAATAGCAGGGAATTTAACGTTGGCTTTGCTTGCCTGCCTTTAGGTGTAATCATTAATAACATTAGTGCGTAGCCTGTTACACGGGCATGCTACGCAAAAATCAGTCATTGTACTCATTTCTCTTGTTTTTTCGTTCGCTTTCAAAGTCTTTGCTTACAACGTATGCCGTGGTTCAAACACATCATATATATATATATATATATAAGACAACACATTTATCATGCCCCAATGAAAGAAAGTAAACGAATTGAAACGAGTCCAATTAATTGAAATTTGTACACTATGCATTTGTTAGACTACATAATATCGACATGTGTATGCTATGCTACGACGTTTTGAATAAGGCTGTGCGTGAATGTATTCGTGCTATGGTAGAAATACTTTCATGCGGTTATGGATGCCTTTGCTTAAGCAATGGAATCTTCATCTATATTTCCAATGATAATTAATATATTTTGACGATGGGATTTCGGAAGGTTCATTTAAAATTTTGAATATATATTCCTTGCCCATTGTATGTTAAGCAGAAGCATTTGAATTGAATAGAATTAATTATTCGTTTCAAATATCGTAAAAACATATACTGGCGGAAACGATAGCGCCTGGAATTTGGCGCAGTTCAATCTTTTTGATTCAGTTAATTGTATAATTTGATGAAAGTTTTGAATTGGGAACAAATCAAGTAAAATAATGTGGGAAATTTTTTATTATGCCCTGCGGACTTATGTAACGCGCAGAAGCGCTTTTGTTATACCGATCGCTTTAGAATCATATATTGGAATGATCTAAGCCTATCTGTCAGTCTAATGTCTTTCCATCCAAATTTATGCTCAAGCTACAGGTTGCAATTTTTTAGATATTTTGATGAAATTTTGTGCAGACTCAAGAGCGAACGCTGTTGAAAATGGTTCGGATCGGTCTGCTTTTTCGATAACGGCTCTAGTCTGAAAAACGGTCATATGGAAAAAAATCGAAATTTTTAAATGTGCAAAAGTGACTAGGTAGTAGTATCCCTGCATTCTAAATTGGTATGAAAACTTTGGACCGGCTGGGGCAATTTTTGAATTTCCTCTCATATAACGAAAACTGAAGTTTCTACGGCAAAAACTTTTAATTTTCAAAGCTTCCTGATGAAAATTATATCACAACACGAGTTCATCATAAAACTGACTGCACCAAATTTGGACCATCTCGGCCTATTCCTTAGACTCTACCCTAATAATGATTTTCACGAAAATTAATCCTTTGTAGAGCAGAAAAGTCAAAGTTTTAATATGTGGTAATGGAAGTTGACCAATAATAGTAATTTCATACCAAAGTGAACTCTACAAAATTTGGACCATCTACGCCCGCTTTTGGATTCTGCCCTATGTAAGGATTTCCCGAAAATTGTTGATTTTTAGGATGGAAATAAGATATAATTTTTGTGTGTTCTATAATAAAAAACGAATTCTATTAGACAATGTGGTGTAGGGTATTAATCAGTCGGCCTTGCCCTACTAAAATGTTCTCAATTGTTTTTACGTTAAATTTAAGCAAAATATCTTTTCAAACTATAGACATGCCCTCTCCTTAAATTGAAGATTACCCTAAATCAACACGTAAGCATTAATATTAGCAAACTTTTAATATAAATTTCCTAATTATCCCACTTACTTACCCCCTTCAGTTTAGTCTTTTTTTCCTCTTTTTGAACACATAAACAGACAAAAGCGTTTGCATTTATGTGTCTTGCTATGTAGCAAAGTTCTTCTAAATTTACTCTCTGAACACGCTCCTTGTGTCTACCTTCTGTATGGAAGTACTTGATCTACCATCTAATCGACATACACAAATATTTCTATTATCTTTTTTTCTGCTCTAGTGCAAACGCATCCACCCACACACAGATGCAATCAACTCATTGTACTATCGTAAAGATGACTTTATACTGTTTTTACGGCGTGACCTCACACATATATGCCATACAAAAATAAATAAATATACTTATCTCACTTATTTTCCATCTTTTGCTTTCATGGCAATTATATATGCTTTTTTTCTATTGCATCACTACCAGGTTATACTTTTGCTGCGAGAATGTTGCTAACGAAACATTCTATCTTATGAATTTCGAATGTTGTTGTTTTGCGTCAAATTAAACGACTTTATCAGGGAAGAAACAAAAACAAAATTTAGAAAAGGAAAACACTATGTATACACTATACACATCATGCCCATGCGTACATAACATATTTTAGGAATGCTGCTGGCAAAATACGCCATTTTGTAAAAGTTTCGAGCCGCACAGCCGGTATTTAAACGATATGTGAGAAAATTTTCATGAGAAATACCTCCGCCTATAGATAGTTGTGTTATCTGTATGCGAAGCATTCCACTGGTACTTATACATACGTAGTAGAGAATTGTGATTTAAAACAGTGTCTCTTCTGCTTTAAATCGCAAAATCACATGATAATCGTAACAGCAATCCCTTGAGTTTTAATTCTCATCGCTTTTTTCCGTCACAATAACAACTAACTTTGCTATTTGTATATGTTTTTTATTTAAAATGCATCTGGTTTTAATTTACTGCGCATATGCAACGAGAACAAGTGAAAAGTAACGTTAGTCAAGTATCTCCAAGTACAAAAAAAACATGGTTTCCTCTTTCTAGGATGAAAGTTAATCCGATATCATATTTACTCTCTACGGGACGATTTTCTACATAATGTAGGAAATTGAATAAGAAATTTTCAGCGAACACAGTTCAATTTTCCAAAACCTTAATTACGACATATGAGCATATACACGACTGTAGAATCTAGATTCTACAGCCATTGATTATAATGGCCATCTCTCTCTCATTCATGGCGATTTCTTTAAAGTTAATTAAAACACTTTTGTTTTACCAGTTTAATATGGCGGCATTTATTTCTGTTAATCAGGGAATTGTGGGAACAAAGACCTTCTTGCATACATTTACATATGTAATAATAAACATATAAATAAAAAAAAATCACATGGAAATATAAGATATTGTTAAAAGCCTAGTGAAAAAAAGAAATATTGGAAGAAAATGTGGAGATAATCGATCCTTTGACCAATTGTTTTATTTTCTCCATAAATTAGAATTACAAGATTACTTCGTATATATTTTGAAGTTGAGAAATGGAAATTACGATATACTAAAAACTTAGAAAATGCCACGGTTTTCTATAATACTCCCTGTAGTTATGTAGAATGTGAATTTAATTGGAATGGAATGTTAATCAACTTATTTCGAGAAATACTTGATTGTTTGGTCTAGTTAATCTTAGTTCGTCTATTCTCGCGAGGAAACCCTTCACAAGTTCAAATTGTTGTAGTCGCCGGCTATTTTCGTTTTTTTTTTCAAAGAAACTTGTTTAAAAACACTGGTTTGGATGAGCGCTGTTTGCAGAAATAATTTAACTAACTTTTCATAGTGACTGGCTTATAATAATTTAACTCTTTTCTTTTTTTTAGTTTTTGCTTCACGTCCCTTAGGCGTTTACGTATCGAAACGAATGCATCTTTAGATGCACTGCGCTTTTCAATTTTATACTTGAAATAAACTAACAGAACTTTTACTTGGCTAATTTTTCCTTAAGAGAGGCGGGCATCTCGGGTGGAGGAGGACGTGGTATAGCCAAAGCTACTTTGACGCCATCATAGATAAACCATTGCAAAGCAGTAAGAGTACCAATCATAACTATACGTGGCGTTAAGCCTTGCCACATACCCATAAAACCCAAGGATCTAGTCACATCTAAGGCTGACGATCCCTTAGCTTGATTCAATTTCGACACAACAACATCGGCTGGATGAGAAACAATCGCGCAGAACACGCCTGCAATATAGCCGGCTGCGAATGTTACCACCAGTTGTTCACCCTTCGAGCATTCTGCTCTTGGCTTGGGTACAACATATCTGTAAAGAAATTACATAACCTCTTTACCGATTGGTAATCAATTTTTTTCACACTCACTTATATAAAAGTTCAAGGGTTCTTTCGAAACAGGCAAATTTCATCATCGTGTATGGAATTTGTCGCATCCATAAAGGCACTAAACCTTTGTAAAAACCATTGATTCCTTCTTCATTCATAATCTTTGGCATACCCTCTCTCATGGTGTTAGCAAATCCAGGTGTAGTCTGAATTTTAACCTTGGTAGCCTCAAACGGAGCTAAAGCTATGTCAGCGAAAAATTCAGCTGAAGCCGAGGCAGCTAAATATAATGACGTACGATACAAATACGCATTCTCCTCGCCCAAGGCTTTAGAATAATATACTTTAAACAGTTCATATAAACCAAACTTAAAGGCTCCCTAGGAGATTAAACAAAAAATAACTATATAGTAAATCAAATAAGCATACATGGAAAGATGAATGAATGAATAAAAGATCAATTTCAAAATCTAATTAAGAAAATCTAGCTTTTTAACCAATTAAGGAAAAGTCGACTTGGAAATCGATATTTTTCAGTCTTTGATTTTATATGATGTAATTACTTTGTACTTTGTATACTTTTTTTTTCAAAGAAATTTACCTGCGCAGAATAACCGAACAGTGTCGGAGCCCAGCCCTTAGCCAGACCCTTAAAACCTTCCTCAGCTACAGTAACTTTAAAGCCAGTAAACAAGTTTTTGTATTTTGCTTGATCGACTTGCAGACGACATTTAACCAAATCCAAGGGCACTACAAATGTATGCGTGGTACCACACGACAAAATGCCACCAATACTACATAAAGCGAAATATTTGGCACTGCCGAATTCACAAGATTCAGTGGCAGCAGCGGCGGCTTGAATGTGACGACCAGGCACCGGTCCATCAACGCCAGGTGTTGGTACGTCACAATGAACTTTAGTAAATGGAGTACGGAATGGTGAATTCTTGGCAACTTCTAGTAGCGAAAACATTTTAAACTCTTTTATCCTTTTGGTCTTAAATGTTAATCAAACTGAAAGTAAAAAACGTAAACACTGCATTTATTATAAAGATATACCTCATGACATGTGAGTCCAACAATTTAATCTCTTAAGTTTTGCCATGCTTTTTTTTAGGTTACATAACATTCGCATATAATTTTATTGATTTCGCAACTTTTTCCAATTAAACAATATAATAAATAAAAAATAATTCCATTACAGGAAATTATTTTTTTTCTTTTATATACCCACTGTTTGATTATATAATGATTTTATGGAAATAACTGAATAACTCTCTAGCACTTACAAAATTGTAATAAGCAAAGATATACGAAAATTCCAAAGAATTCCTACAAAAAAGTCCAGGTGACATACTAAAATGATTGTATGGTTTTCGACCGAAACAGGGTCGTTAAGAGTCAGAACGTTGCCACCTTAGAAATTTTAAGGAAATGGAAAATTACATTTATTAATTAAGAACAATTTTTCATTTATTTAATTAAAACAACAATAAATTATACATTAATTTCTTAAAATGACCTATATGCCAAGTTTAATAAGGCTAATTTTGGAAAAATTTTCATAATACTAGACATAATCATTCCTAATAGCGAAAAAATACCTAATTGGCATTACTGCTAGACGGAAGAAAAGAGAAAGGGAGTCAAAAAAATGTCAAACGGTGAAAAAGTGTATGCATTACAAAGTGTAACTAAAATTTAAAATATTTTAGTAAAAACTCTTAATTATTTTTAAAAACATTTAAAAAATGTTTATTTAAATGTTTGTGTTGCATTTTTCCATAAAAGTTTCGCGAATACCAATGGTTTTAAACATAAAAAATCGAACTGAAAAAATGTGGAAAATTTTATGCTTGCTGTTGACGCCATATTTAATTTTTCGGTATTACTTTATCTATTGAACAAAGAGAAGGCATGAACTAAAAAAAGTTGGCGAAAAAATACAGTCAAGCGGAGGAACATATATTACTATGCTAAGCGTTACGAACATTTTATATTGAAGAAATTGTGTAAATAATAATGTATTTGAAGTGTTTTTTCATTTTCTGAATAATATTAAAGCTACAAATATATTCTATATGCAATAGGTAAGTGTATGTGTATGTATTTTTCTTTTTTTCACAACTTTCTATCCCTGAATTTTTTTTCTTAAAAAAAAAATTTTCTGTAGACTAAATTTGCGCATACACACACATTGTCCGATGGTATATGTATTACCAGTAAACAACACATTTTTACGGGAAGTAGGTGGAAGTTAAACTTAAATATGTTACATATTTACATATATACATATATATATATACATATATATACGATGTCTTGATTATGATGAATTTTTTTTTATAAAATCATAACAATTTTTGCCGAGGCGCTCTTTAAAGAATATTTTATATTAGAAAATTTTACATAAACTTTTATTTATAGCTTTTCTTTTTGTTTTTTTTTTCCCTATAAACGGGAAATCGAGAAAAACAAAATGTATAAATGTGACTAAGGTCAAAAGTTTTAGGTGAATATGCAATACATACCTACGTGGACACACACAAGATTTAAAAAAGCAGAAATTCTCCGAAAATTAGAAAAATAATGGAAAAAATTTCAAAGCCGTTGTAAAGTTAACAATAATTTTAAGGATTGCACACCAATAATTTTAATTAGATTTCCGAAACAATACTAAAGTTTTTTACATTTTTATTTTTAGCTCAATTTCTCAGTAAAGTCAATGACAACATGTTTACTTTAGTTTTTCGCCTACTTATTCTGTCCTATATAGAAGTTATTTTTTATATTACATGTTTTAATAACTACGTTTCTTTAATTGAATATTGAGGACTTTTGCAGAGCATATTTGAAAATATTTGCTATCATTAATATTAAATATTTTGATGCATCTAAATGTAAACGAAACAGGTAAGTCGCCCTTCGTCCTAATTATGCGTCTTTTTGGTAGTTGTTGCGCGCGATAAATCGTGTGGGATATGATTATGAACCAAAAAGTACAATCCTTGAAACAGTACAATTTATTTTGCTACATATTGCACCACATCGAAACAACCAAGTCCGTTGACGCTGCGTCAACAAATACTTATTCCGTGGAGTGAGTTATGCAGATCCATAACTTAACAACTTTTTCGACGTATGGATCTCTAAGCTGTGTTTATTACATTTTTTATAAATCGACTTATTTGCACATTGTTCCACAAATAGAAGAATCTAACAAATATTCAGTATGCCAATGAAGCACGATTTGTTATTGTCGTTGCTGTTGTTATTGTTCTTTTGCTTTTCATGCCCACAAACACATCCACACGCATGCACACATACATCTATCCGCACACATAAACAAACAAACCTATACGCACACACATGCAGACGCGTGCGCGCGCGGGATATCCCGCACAACGTATGAATTATCCAGTTATATATGCGGCTTCAACACACGAGCGAGCAACGTTTATGACTTTGGTCAGAGCATAAAAGATTTATGCATCTTCGATAACTATGCTTTCCAGATCGAAATTACAACAAGTAACCCGTGGTGAGGAATACAGAAGGAAGGGGGAAATGCGTGAGCTGTTTGCACAGTATTTTCCAAGAAAAAGCCGCACGAGGACCACATTCGAATCTCTAATCGTATTCGAATGCAATTGGGTGATGTAGGGTTGCATAGTAAGCAGAAAAGGAGATAATGCGAGAGCGGTTCTGGAATGGTTTTATCCCCATGGAGGTCCACTATTCAGGCATACGTAGGCACATACATGCCCCCCCCCCCACACACACACACACACACACACACACAACGTCAATACTCTTACATTAATAATATAGTAATACAAGCGAGTTAACACTGTTGGGGCGTGTACAAGTTATGGACAACAAAGTGTGTTGTGTTGGCTGTCACACTGTTCATCACCTTTTACTTACACCCATATCGTAAGAATTGCGTCATAGCGTGTGTAATACACTTATGAGGATATCCCACGAAATACAATATTTAAATCGATCCTTGGTCAGTTTCAAGTTCGGATCCACTCATCCACATCTGTATATCAGCTTCGCAGATCATGCAATTTTAATCTAAGATAGAGAGTTGCATTGTATGCCTTTTTCTCAAGTCCATACGTTAAATATTGCATTGTTTGTCCGTGACAAATTTTTGCTTTCTTTGTAAATTTATGTTCTGCAGGGATATATGTAAAATTTGTCCATAGTCGGATTATGTATAATGTATTGCAACACCTACCGCAGGGTAAATGTGGCTTGTTACTTCAATTATGTACTTATGATATGGTTCGCAGCTCCTTTTCTTGAAGCTGACTTGATTATAATTAAATGGGTTGAATTAATAAATATTTACAAATAATTCTAATCAAATGATTAGAGAATGGTAGCAGCAGCAAGCAATGAATAGATAATAGAGAGTATATTTTGTTTGTTTATGTGCGCATTATCGAATATGTGATCGCACACGTTTGCGGTATATTCGTTCTTTTTTAAATATTCTTATCTATATGTAGCTTATCTTTTCTGTAAGACTGACTTTAATAAAACTTTTAAACAGCTATTTATACATATTAGAGCGGGTATGCGAATTTCGCGATATGTTTATTATGCTCAGAATAGGTGTCGACTTAGCTTTCTATTTGCCTGTCTACCGTCTCCTTAGTTAAAATCACAAGTACGAACGCAGAAATTTTCTACTAGCAAAACTTATTTCTCAGTTCTTTCCGTGTCATCTTCGTTAGGTTAAGTTAAAAGGTGCGGCTACACCCGTTCGTGCATCTGTTGCCTATTGACAAAAAAATACTATTTATACTTTTAGATTTATGACGCGAGAATATGTCGACGGTTATAGATTATCAAAATTAAAAACAAAAATTTGTATGCCAGTTGTCCCGAAAGCACTCTTTAGGAAACTTCTATTTTTAGGTGCTATTTTAAAGGATATTTAAGAAAAAATATCTTTGCATACATCTCTAGTACTCATCCATCGTCACACATTTTTAACCACATACATATTTATAAAGTCGTATAAATCAGTGCTTTGCGATACGTTGACGATTTATTTTTTTATTTACAAAAATTCCGTAATTTCGTTTTTATGTCTCACTTTTGCTTTATTATTTTCGCCAACATGTTCTTTTTTAAGTACGTTTACGTAAGAAAAAAAAAAAAATTAAATAAAGTAACAATAAATTTAAATCCATCACTCTTAAAAAAAACGGAGTTACATATGACAATAGCAATGCTCATATGTTTTTGCCTGAATAAATGCATAACAATGACAATCACATTTGTATATTTGCAGAATAATGTCTGAGAACAAAACAAAACCCTTTAATACCCTATGGAGTATGTCCTTTATGGGGTCTACTAGCGAACAGTATAGTAAAACCAATTCTCCAGTAAGTTCAACTGCATCAACAGCACTTAAAACAATATCAACATCAACGATTACGAGCAATGAATATATCACTGACAACAACAGTACTAAGGGACATGATAGCACGCAGAAACCAGAACACAATGTGGCAGGTCCACAAGAACAAAAATTACAACAGCCGCGGTCACAACTCTCACCTGCAGCGATTTCTACAAACAATGACTTACGCACCATATCAAATAATATGCAAATCTTACAAGTCAACGCTCACAAACAAAATAGTGGTGTTAGCCCTTTGGCAAGTCGAACTGGCGAAGAAAATGGCGACAAACTTTATGGCTTTGTGGAGGACATTTGTCACAAAATACGTTTAGCTGTTACTGGCATTGGCGATGGCCTCTATCAAACACAAATGATGAAAGCCATTAACCAATATAAAGTGTATGTTTCTTTCCGTTATTAATTTTCTGTAAAAAATTAATTATCATAATTTTATTTTTATATTTATTTAATTCTATCTCCTAGTTTTTGTAATGAAGCTTTTAAACAGGATTTAGAATCAGTAAACAAATGTCGTAAATTAACCAGGAACATGCTGCACATGATGAATTTATTTCACAGTGTATGCGCAGACTTTTCCGATGTAAGTTTAAGAAAAAAAAAAAGCATAAAATTGAAAAATTTATATATCGACTCAAATAATAAAAGTACTCAATTTCTAAATATCAGTGTATACGACCAAATGAAAATGATTTGCGTAAATATAGATTTTTCGCGGATTGCATACTTTTCTTGGACTGTACGTCCGCAATCATACATACGTTAAGGAGAATTTAATCCCTATTCGTATATATTAATTGTCCATATCTTGCAAAAAAAAAAGTGTCAAGAATGTTGAGGGAAGTGTTCGTTTGGATGAAACGATCGGAATAGACGGATAATTTTTTTTCCGAAACACAATATAATAATAAGTGACTTCATCCGTAATTCGGTATTTAGAAAAGTGATTGGTATGGGTTTTCGACGACTAATATACCAATAAAACAAAATCACACGATTATCAATATATAAAATAAAGCTAAAATAAAAAACCAATTTCAAAAAATATAAGGCAACGGCGTTTTGTAAGACATTTCCCACCATATCGTTTCGCGCACGCATTTATACATTCTCTTTAATATTTTACGAATTTGTATAGAATTTTTTTTTCCCGGCTTTGGCTTTACGAAGCGAAATATCAATTTCTCACTCCTTCGAAATATAAGTAAATTTTTTTGCACGTGTTGCGAAACGCTTCATATGTTTGATACATGAGGGAGCTGAAAACGTGCGGTGTATCCTTCTTAGTTTCATGTACATGTATTTAAAAAGAAAAAAATTAAAAATTTGACTGACAAATTAGATGAAAATCGCATAATTTACATATAATTCTATTAAATTCGATACCTAATTAAATTCTACAGCTAATATAAATTATGAGCTAATTAATATAATTAATTTTAGACTCCTGAGTATATGCAACGTTTATGTGAATTACTTGCTATATATATTGCCGTTGAGTTGCGAGTTTGTAAGGAAACGAAAGTGGATATTTTAATGGTAGCCAATCGTATTGTTTACTTACTGCGTCAATATTTAAAAAAATCCGATGAGGTTAGTTTTAATAAAAACAAAAAAACAAAAAAGAAAAATAGTTTTTAATGTTCATTCAAAATTTTCTTTTCTTTAGAAACAAACTTTAATTAATCGGTTATGTGCCTTGGTCCGTATACCAAATATGTATGGTGAACGTGATATTATGACAACCGTTTTTGAGTAACTAGTTTTAAAATTAACAATTTGTTTTTTGTTTTTTTGAGACTTTGTCGTATTACAGAGAATTTATACCACGTTCCGCTATCGTTATACAAGAAGAAATGCCGGATAAATTATATATGCAATATATCATATTGTTTTATCAATGGATGCGTTTGGATGCGAATTTGGAATCTCAAATGCGTATCATTGAGTTCGCTGAAAGATTTATGCGGCCGGCAGATACATTGCGCAATAATGCTTCATATGCTTACAACTTGGCTAGATACTCATCTAATAGCACTGCTACTCGCACCATATTATATAATATGAAGTTCTTTCAAGATCTAAGAAATGTAAGTCCACGAAATCCGCTTTCTGCCTTCGTAAAAATTTAATTATATTTGCACATTTCAGGCCTCAATCAGAGACAATAGTATGGCGGCCATTAGCGACGTTGTGGTAAGTTATAGTTTGAGCAAAATTTAATTGTTAATATCTGTGATGTTTTAGTAAAAGGTATGATTTTTTTAAGTAGTACTTCGACGTGTTTTTAATTTGCATTTTGAATGAGCAGTTAATCGCTTTGTAAATTTTTAAATATGTTTAAGTTATCGAAAAAAGTATGATAACAGCCTTAAGCTGAATGGTCTTAATAATTTCAAATATATTGTTTGATTTCTTTTTTTTTATTAAATCAGTGTTATTTTCCCATTTTCCGTTATTCAGGAACTATACGACGAGGACGACAATCTCCTGGAAGAAACCTCCCGTGGCATTGATTTTTCTGAGATTTTCTCTTGCATATCAATCAAACCTTGGGAACAATCGCAACGTATAAAATTGGAACGTAATCAATATTCAGATACCGTTGATTTAACAGCTGACGACGATGACAATGAGAACGTAGTGGCTATGGATAACGACTCCATAGAAATTTCCAATGAAGAGCTTTGGCTTAAAGATTTTCAAAAACTTGCCAAACAATGTCAGCCTGTGCGACATTATTTGCCTGCTTTGAGAAATGAAACTTCAGTTGCCGATGAAGATATTATCGATCTTGACAGTGACCCGGAATTGGATTTAGAGGATAATCCGCCAAATACCGCAAATTTAGCAAACACAGCAAATATAGCAAATGCAGAAAATACAATCAATACAACCCATAAAACAAATACAACAAATATAACAAACACAACAAATATAACAAATACAACAAATATAACAAATATAACAAATACTGCAAATATAACAAATGAAATACCTCCGGCCGTTGCTTCGGATGAAGAGAACTTTTTTTCTTTAGATTACGTTAGCAGAGACTGTGACAATGCTACAACAACTAATGAAGACGATCATGAGTCTACCACAATACGCCCACGTCTACCATGCGATAATGTGCGTACTTATGCCACGAAGAAATCCAATAATAAATCGTCGATGGCCGCAAGCACAGCTTTGGTTACTGGCAGTACGGGTGCACGCGACTCAAGGACATCGCAGATAGCAGAAGGTCCTCGAATTGTGAACACGTTCTCTTGCCGCCGTGAAAGTTTACATATTGTCTCATCGCCTAACGGCTCCCAGGCAGACGATGCCGGTACGGATGTACAAGATGAAAACGATGATCGCAGTACATTCGATTACTCTCCGTTATCACCTCAAAAACCTTTAGATGCGGACACTGGAAATCGACAGGCTACCGCCCGTGTTCCATATCCTTGTCCTACCTATTCTAACGAAATGGGATCAAATCGCGTCGTGTTTTCTCAAGAAGCACCTCGATTGCGCTATAAACACAAAGAATTAAAATACTCTGCTGACTCGAAGGTACGCAAAAAGTTCACCCTGTTGAATAAAAATAAAAGAAATTCATTTTTCGTTCTAGAAACCACGGTCAAGTTCAAGCAAAAAGTCAGAACAGAAGAAACGCGTTAAATTTAATGAAAAGCATATAGGGCCAGCGGCCACCCATGTTGGCTTAAAGACTCCTGTTAAATCATCTATACATTTAGGGAAATTGTCGGCTTCAGATTCGGCCAGCTACTACTTAAATTCACAACGCAAAAGGCATACCAATTCAACATCGAGAGTGGCTAGCTCTGCATCAACTTCTTCAACTTCCACCGAGTCTATTAAAGAACTAACACAACAAGGTATGTATAATCTATTTTTTAAATTAATATTTTGTGTTTTGCTTTTGCCATCAAATGGTAGCGAAATAAATATATATATCTTCTACTAAACTAACCAAGCAAACAATCAATTATAACCAATAATTTTAATCTGTCTAGACTTCAAAAGTATACTGAAAAAAAAACGTGTGCTTAAGTCGAAATCCAACAAATCTGTGTCAGTTTTTAATAAGAAAACTTTAAGAAGTTCTATTAAATCTAATGATATTTCATTAACCAATTGTAAGAGTTTAGATCAAGGGCACTTAGCTGAATGCAATTCAAATGTTGCTACTAAACAAACAATACCGGAACACACAAAAAAACTCACATTAAATCAACGAACTAATGGTGATAATCACCAGCCACAGACAAACGATGACCTTTTGACTGACGTACAGACAATGAAACTTGAAAAAGAAAAATTGATGCCTCCTGAGGTTAATGATGATATAATTTTCAAGAAACCTTTACCCGTACGGAGAAAATTAAGAAGCTATAAGTTAGCAACCACTTGGATGGAAGAGTCGACAAAAGTTGCAGGCCAGAATATTGAAGCAGAAGATAGGCAAGGTTCAATCAAAGAAGAGCCATCAGATTCAATTAAAACAGATTCCATATTGCAAGCAAATGATAACAATGACACTGAGAATGTTTCGCAATGCACTTGTATTGATAGTATTACGGAGTCGAATGAAATTCATTGTGATCAAATAAAAGAAAAAAATATAAAGTATCTGGATAAATCAGAAGAAATCATAGAAAATGCCATTAGCGACCTTTTAGGAGACAATAAAGAGACTGCGGAAGATGTTAAAAAAATTGATGAGAAGACAAATGGAAGCGATAATCCAAGTGAAAGTCATTTCATAACGAAAAGTGACGATAAAGAGGACGTGCTTGCCTTGAACGATTTTAAGATTATGGAAGAGAATAAAATAGATATTGCTGAAATAGAAGTTAATAAATCGAACGAGGAGGACTTTGAAAAACCTGAAAAAAAAGAAGGCGGCGGCGTATATGATCTCCTTACTTCGGATGCGGAAAACGTAAAAGTTGATGAATCATTTGAGCTTAAAGCTGATGAAGAAGACAAGATGGAAATTGAAACTGCTGAATATGCAGAAAACCTTGGGCAAATACCAGATAATCAAGTTGAAACAAGAACATCAGAGAACGACGAAAGTGAATCGGATGACATTTTAGAAGACGCTAACAACAATGTAGATACGGAAGATATTAAAGAAGTTGCCGGCAATATATGTGCAGAGGAAGAGTTTGTAGAAATTGATAAGCATGTCGAAATAAGTTCAACGCCAGCAATGGTTACGTTAGTTGCACCGATCGAAAGTTGTAAAGATGTGGAATTAAATTCAAGCCCGGCCGAAGATGGACCTGTAGAAAACAATAAAGAAATGGAATCAGGTTCAGCAATGGTCATTATGAACGGGCTCGCTGAAAATTCTAAGGATATGCAGTCAAATTCGAGTTCAATAGTCGACTTGGAGAGTGAAACTGCCGAAATTTCTAAAAATATAGAATTAAGTACGAGCGCAGCAGAAGTGACAGACGATGAGTCTCCTATAGAAACTTGTACAGGTATTAATGAGAATAGCTTAGCCGTAGCCATGGAGGAAGCAGAAAATTCCAAAGATATGGAACCAAATTCAATTTCACTAGCAGTCGCAGAAGACGAATCTGTAAGTGACTGTAAAGATACCGAAAATAATTTAAATTCAACAACAATCAAAGAGAACGAGTTCGTGGGGAATTGTAAGGAAGTCGAATCAAATTCAAATCCAAGTGAGGATAAACCTGCTGAAATATGTAAGGATGCGATACCAAATTCTGTCACAACAGGAGCTGCTGCGAACGATGAATTTTTGACTGATAACAAGAACGTTGAGTTTGTAGAATCAAATTTGCTTGCAATAGAGAACCGAGAGAGGTCAAAAATCCTAAACAACGTTGAAACGAAGGATTTGGTTCTTCCTGAAAATAATTATGAATGTAAAGAATCTGTAGGAAAGTTGTTGCCCAATAATGAAGAAAGCTCCAATAAAGAGAGAAAAGAAAGTGAGCAGACTGTTGAAAAATCGTCATACAATAACTATGAAAATCATAAAGGCGAAGAAGTAAAAGATGAAGAAAACGCAAAAGATATAGGAAAGCAAACAGAAAAGCAAGTCATACCGATTACAGATCCTCAGCCCTCTACTCCCATAACAAGTAATTTTAGTGCCGAATTTTTGGCAGGGTTACCCAATGAGCCGGCAGTTAATGCGAATGTGGATATTGACATAACCGCGAAGGACCCGACAGTGAAAAGGGAATTAGATTTTGAATTTGAATCTTCCAGTACTCCGTCCTCCATGGTACGCATAGATTTAGATTCTATGAATGAAAACACAAACGATGTCCACCAGCAATCGCCTCAAAGCGATGAACCAAAGGAAGTGAATAAATTATTGGAAGAGTTTAATAATAAAACTGAAGACATTGTGGGTAACAGCTTAAATAAAATACAACAAGAAACTGAACAGCACAATGAACCGATGAGCGTGGAAAAAGTGAAAGTATTAAAAGAGAACAGTACTTCTGACGAATTTGGTAAATTAGATAGCGTAAAATCTTTATCATTAACTACCGAAGCAATTGCTGTCGCAGATCTTAAATTAAAAGACGGCAGCTCTGATAAATTGGAGACTTCTCTAAAACCCCAAGTAACTGAAGCAACCAACAAACATATGACAGTGGATTTAGTTAATTGGCAGCAAAGACAGAAGAGTGGAACACAGGAGGAAACAGATAATAATCATTCTGACGTATCAGCTACAATTTCTTTGAATCCAACACTTCCCACTTTGATTATCTCTATACGTACACGAGCCGTTAATAATACGAAAAAGACGTATTTTCAAATATCAAATCGAGATAAAAACGAGAAAAGCCCCGATGCTGCTGAAGAAATTAAAATAAACAAGGAAGAAGAAGATACTAAGGAAGAAGGAAACGTAAAATTATCTTCTAATGAGTCGGAAAGTAAGTCTTTAGCAAATTTAGAAAATCAGGAAGCGGAAACTTTATCTTCTCCGAAAAGAACAAATAGCTTAATTTCCTTAGATGATTCGGCTTTCGATAAAATAACAAAGATAGAGGAGGATGAGGAGGAAGAAGAAGATACTTTAGAATTAGAAAAGCTGTCGGCTGATTCAAATTCGGCTTATTCGTTGCCGTTAAAGAAACGTCCAACACAATCTGAATTAACAGAAGAGGGACAACAACAAGAAGATCAATATCCGCTAGAACCAATTCCAGTGGATGTGGCTGCTGAAGTGGTTATAGGAGCAGATAATGAATACAATGATTTAAAAACCATCGAGGTGAACGGAGCTATTGTAGTTGAGCTCGATGAAACAAAAAAAGGTAAAAAAATTGTCTTACCATCCCCACAAACGCAACAAATGCAATCACAACAACAAACACCTCGTATACAAGTAGTGGCACCTCTTAAGGAAATCGAGAAAGATGAGCCGAACACATCGAGGGCATCTGAACTACCGGAATCTTATCCGGCCACGCCAATGTTGAGTGTAGCTAATGTTGAGAAGCTGATGGACTTAAGCCGTTTCATCGACAAAATTATGGCTTCAGTAGATGTGGCTGCAATCATTGCTTCAGCCAATGCGATCGGTTGCTTTGCTGAAGGTCAGATATATGAAATGGAACGTACCGCTATATTGGAGCATTATAATATAGCGAATGCGAATGGTAAAACTACCAGCAAGCCATTATATTGGAAGAAAGGAGTCGAAGACACAATTTCAATATTTAATGATAACGACAACGAATGGATAACTTTGCCACCAACAACGGCCAAACAATTACAAAAATTGTCATTTGTGCTGGCTATATTGCAGGAACAATATCAGGTCAGTGACGTAAGGCAACGAATTAATCTGGCACTCACCCATCTCATTCACAAATCGCATTCGACTGTCATACAAAATTCATCACACAACACTGGGGAAAATTTTAAGCTGGCGCATTCTTCGAAAGAATGTCAAGATAATAATTTGGAATATATAAAAAGTCAACAAAGAAATGTTAACGAGACCGTCAGTAATAATTTATTGCCAGCTCCGCACATGGAGCGAATGCCAAGTCCACAACATTTTGTAACTGTCGTTACCGATAATTCACCGTCACGTCCAAATACTAATTTAAATGTGACGAGATTAAGCGGTAATTCACAAAATAAAACACATGATTCTGCAAGCGGATTGATAGATCCGAATAATACAGTGAAAATTTGGCCAGGTACTTTGGCCAACTCAATGATGGTTAATAATGTCCTCAATAATAATTCCGTCTTTATGTCAACATCTAACAACGATACCATATATGGTTCCATGAATTTTTCAAATACCTCAGGAGTTGTAACAGCGGACTTAACTGAAAACCGTCAAGAACAACAAAGCACTTGGGAGGATTTCACCGGCGAACAAATTTATATAAATCCACCCTGCGCCACAAGTCCTCAAAATGAGGTAATCGTTAATACCAGTGGCGTGCAATTGAATGACTTTTCTCAAAGTACGGCTGACTCCCAAAATATATTCATTTCTATTACAGATAGCGCTGCGCCAGAAAATGATACGAACACCGCTCAATTGCGTCGGCAACGGTCAGTAGATGATAATGGCAGTGGTGAACACTATGCCAAGCGACCGTGTCTGTCCAACACTGGAATGAGTGCGATATTTAATACACACTTTGGCAAACTGAACAGAAATGTTGTATTACAAAACCCTTACTTAGTGCAAAATGACATGAGTCAGCGAACGAACAACAATAAAAGCAATCATAATGCTAATAATATAATACAAGCATCGGGTTCAGGTGCCTCGCAAGCGCTCCAGCAGACCAATGTTTATAACGAAGCTTCGCAGCAAATGTCTACTAGCCTATATACAACCCGAACACCTCCCGCTCCTCTTGCTACACAGCAATTAGGTAACATCTGTGCCTCACCTTCGTCTATGGGAATTCAACAGCAGCAATCAGGCAAAACTGATTTCAATAATTTAAGCTTCTTGCAACAATATGTGGCTCAAGTAAGGGAGAATCAAAAGTTTGTAGATCAACATCTATCACAAATAAAAGCCAAAATTGAAAATAGTCCAATTAACAATAGTTCGCAACATTTGAATGTTACCAATTGTGGTATAACAATGATGTCGAATAGTAGCGCAAGCACTTTGCAACGTAATAACGTCAATAATTCTAGCGGTTTTCGAGCGCCGCCTAATACTTCAACTACTTCTGGAGCTTTAGAAGTAGTTACCTCATTTATTGAACAATCACAAGCCTATCCTACTGATGTTCAAATTAAACAACAACAGCAACAACAACAACAACAGCAGAATTACACGCAGCAACAACAGGCTTATACGCAACAACAGCAAAACTATACGCAACAGCAGCAGCCTAACTATACACAGCAACAGCAGAATTATACGCAGCAACAGCAACAGCAAAATTATGCGCAACAACCGCAACAGCAGAATTACGTGCAGCAGCAGCAGCAGCAGCAGCAGAATTACACACAACAGCAGCAGCAGCAGCAACAGCAAAATTACACACAACAGCAGAGCTACACGCAGCAACAAAATTATACACAGAATACCTATACTTCGACGACGCCAACTGTAATGTCATCTACGCAGTTGCATAATGATCAACGTAACCTCATGGATTTCGCGCATTTGGTGGTAAATTCAGGCTATCAGCCAACACCTACACCGCCGACAGCTTATGAAAATACATATGTTAACTTTGTTGTATGCCGCGATAATCTGCAATCGAAAAGAAAAAAGCGGGCGACAACGAAAAGAAATGCTCCACCGATAATGAAGCTACAACAAATGGAAACTCGGGCTCAGATTGAGCAAACGATTGAAATTGAACCGCCTGCAAAGAAAATGCATGTATTGAGAAAGAGAAAACCAGCCGAGCTGCAACAGAAAACCGAGATAGAAGTGATGCAATTACTGGAACACCAGCACCAACATCACCATCAGCACCAGCATCAGCAACATCAGCAACATCAGCAATTACAAAAATTGGAAAACCCTGAACATAACCTGAATAACAACATCGTACAACAGCAGCAAACGCCTACCTTCAATGAAACCAATACTACCAAGCGTAGAGGAAGACCAAAACGCAATGAGATTACGACGCCGCCTACAACGCGACAACGCAGCCGTCAAATAATCAACAACCAAGCTAATATTACGAAAACTACTGCCAATGTTAGCATAGCACCAGCAATACATATGACGACGACACCAATAGTGGTGACCACTACAGCTAATAACACTTTCGCTTACCATACGCCGAATCAAACCCTTTCAAGCACTAGACACGCTGCTCGAGAGGCTGTTAAACGTATACACTCCGCAGTCACAGGAAATTATTTCGGATGAAATACTAATTTCAAATTTTTTATCCACGATCATTCGTATTGGAAATCGAAGCATGGCCGACGGCATAAACATTGAAAACGAATCCTTTTTATTTTTTCTCCATTATTATTTTTTTTTTTTTTTTTTTCTGTGAGGCATAAACTGTTAATTTTGTTTCCGTGGTTGTGAGTTTTTGTGTGCCGTGTGTTATGTACACTCGCTTACGGATGGTGCATCATGTTTGTAAGCTTGACTATTTCTTTTACTTTTTTTTTTTTTTTTTTTATATACAAAATTCTTACCTTTCTTGATGATCATTACACTTGTCTATCATTGAATAACTTTATGAGTTAAATTAAATTATTTGTATAATAGAACCACATATGTGTGAATTTTCGGTAACACTCTCTGTAGTATGTAGTTGGGATTCTCAAATCCCAATTTATTAATGTTTTTAAACTATGAACCACTTTTGCTAAAACTTGGGCTTCATACAAGGGAAAAAAACCCATTAAAAATGAAAAGTAATTTAGTTTTAAAATTAATTGAATATAGAAAATAATCTCTTACAAAAACAAAGTCAGCAATCAACTTCCCATTATGGTTCACATAAAGGGCCAATATCTGCAATCAACTTTCTTTTAATCATCAATCAACTTTCCTGGATTAGTTCATTACATACACATATGATGACGTATATGCAACAAAAATCTTCAATCAACTTTCTCAATGAACCTGCCTGCATTTGGGACTACATTACATACAATAAAATGTTTGGACAACAATAATCTACAAGAAATTTTACAACAGAATCTCGCAACTTCTTCAATAAACTTTCCCTTACGAAAATTCAAGCTGCTCACCATCATCCAACCGATCAATGATCCTCATTTTGGAAATATCTTCTATCAACAATCAAAAGTGCCATGCTTCCTATCCAGGATAGATATAAAGGAAAAAATCGTCGAAAATTAGCAAAATGTTCAATTTTTTAATTATATGCTTGTTTTTTTTTTTTTTTTTTTTTAATTACTTTAGTTTTGAGAAATTTTTTATGTAAAAGAAGAAAAACTGACATAAGCAACAATATTATAAACAAAGTCGTCTGTGCTTAGTTTCCATTTTGTAAAGATTCAATTAGCTATTACATCCTTGATCTTAAGCAACCAACTGTTTTATATTAAAACAGGAAGAAATTGAAAGAGAATTTGGTAAATATATTTAATTTTAAACATTTTCTATATTATATTTGCATATATAATATTAGCAATAATTTCTTATGCTTATTTATTAAAACGCTTTTGTTTGGTTTCATAACTTGGAATACTTTGGTGGTACTTGGCAGTGTTGTTGCAAACTGTTCTTCTTTTTTCAAGTTTGCTATTGGTTCATGAAATATCCATTGAAATTTTGAAATAAATTTTGGATTCTTAATCTCTCTTCTATAAAGAAGACGAACATGAGTGAAGAGAATGAAAAAAGAAAAAAGCTGCGTTGAGAGCGGTTTTTTTTTTTTTTGTTTTTTTTTTTTCAGTTTAAATATGCTTCTCACTCAATGTCACTTCTCGAAAATTTAACATTAAACACATTGGTTCACTAGTGTATGTTGCTCAACAAGTCTTATGTAAAAGTGGTTCATTTCTAGGTTTAATTTAGCTATAAATTTAAGTATTTCAAAACACACCCCATCACATGCATTAATATTTAAGTGAAATTAAATGATTGAACCACAGTTTATGTATATGTATATAAGCGTGTATGCGTGAGAAGGTATATTCAAACATACACATATATATATATATATATATATATATAAATATATATGGATAATAATATCTATAAATATATACACATATATATATATACACACATATTAAATATATATATATATATATATATATATATATATACGTATACATATACATCAAATTTATTCATTTGATTAAATTATTTTACCATGAACCATTTTGAGAGTTATGAACCAAAACAAAAGTTGTGTTAGTTATTTTACAGTTAAATAAACTTTTAAAAAGTTTTTTTTTTTTTTTTAAATTTGAGATTTTATACGTACAAAATACAAATAGGAATTTTTAAAATTTGATTAAGTTAGTTGTGCGAAGCGTCGGTTAGATAGATGTTTATAAATATTAATTGGGTTTCTATTTATTGTTATTGAAACCAATATGTGGTTTCGTTAATCTCTCTTATAACCGGCAAATGTTCTCAGAGAGATTGTTTAGCATCCGTATCAAAACAGCATCACGGAAGGACATTTGTGATACGGTGTTTTAACCGCATACAAAAACCTTCCCGCTTTTTTAAACTTGCATTGATATCTTTTTCTTTTTCTCTGTTTCTTTTTTCCCTCCTCTTTCCAAAAAATATATTTTTTTCTTTTCTAGAACATATAGCAGCTGCACCATCAGTATTTCGCAGTTATCTTATCTCATCAAATCAATATCAATCCAATAGAAAATCATTCGACTCCAGAATTGGAGGTTTTTATCCTCCATCTTCGTCGTCTTCGTTTGAGCAGGGCTCTCTTACCCCGACTTCATCAACAGAAGCTCGTAAGAGTTTGAAAAAACCTTTAACTAAGAAGCGCGTATTATGTAGCAGTCAGAATGATCTCTCTAAGAAGGAAACAAAGCATCCATGTGCCATTAAATCATTACAGCGCAGGATAGTCAATAGAGAAGGTACACCGGTACTGGATGAAATTGACGATTATTATTCGGCTCCCGAAAGTGGTTATGCAAATGATCCGAAATTGAGAAGACGTTGCGTGGTGGTGATTGAGCAAAGTGCGGAGATGCGTCGAGGAGAGATAGCCTATTATAATGAGCTTTTAGAGCGCCAAAGGACTATGTTGAAAAAAAATGCTTTGAAAAAGCAAATGGAGAAGAAACAGCAAATGGCAAAAAATTCAAGAATTGGGGAAAAAAATAAAGAAATCCATAAGAGTAACGTCTCGGCGAACATTATTGAACATGAACATGGGGTAGTGAATGTAAGCAGTCAAGAAGCACTTTATTTACCAGTATCTTTGGCAAAAGCGGTAAAGGATATAGTACCCGAAGGCTCAGAAAAACCTGAAAAAACTCAAAATAAAGAAAGTAACTCGACACATGCTATAACAAATGATACTGCGGATGAAGTAGAACTTAGTAAAGAATGGACTAAACAAACTGGAGGTCTTTTGACCGCTGCAGAGTTTCCAGAACAAGCTGTTATTTTACCCGCTCTTAACACGTTGGATAGGGAACAATCAACCGCGGAAATAACTGCTGAGATTCATAAACATGAAGAAGAAAATAACCAGAGTAAAGTAACAGAGTTATCAACTGAATTGGAACTTCTTGCTGGTCTAGCAGATTTTCTACCACCCGTTAGTTCCCCAACACATTCAGGACAATTACCCGTTAGTCAGTCTCTTGAAAGCCTTTTGGATGCACAAATGGATGGGCCGGTAGTGCCGTCGAATAATGTAAAAGAAAACGGAGAAGCTGATGCACCTTTATTAGGATCACTGCTGCCATTATCGTTAACGCAATGTGAAACTCCAGAAGAAACTATTGAGAAGATCTTGAAAGAGGCGGTTGGAAATGTTCTTGAAATGGGTGACGTATCACAAGAAGATAAGTTGGCGGAAACTTCAATTGAATTGAATTCTATGATGAACTTAGAAAAGGTAAAGGAGCCAGTAATTAAACAAATCGAACGTGACCAGCATGCTAAAGAAACACTGCAGGTAATGAATAAAAGCCAATTAATTGAAAATAATTCCGAGCCGATTGAATTGGGTTCTAGAACGGAGGAAGTGCAAATTACACACAATGAGACTAACGTTACATCTGGTAATGTAATAAAGTCCACCTTTGATGTAGGAACTGATTCTCTAGTTAGTGTCAATTTCCTCACTGTAGACGAAAATGACAAATCTACTAAATTATTGCCACCTAAACATGCTATCCAGAGTCCGATACGTAATTTAAACGATTCCGAATGTTTCGAAACTTGTATTGAATCGCATGTTTTAGATGATGCTGCATCGAAGCCAGTGAACAATCCTGAAATTAATAAAAAACTAAGTGATGATGGTAAATCTCCTTCAAATGCATTTATTTCGCCAATTTTTGCCACAAAATCTTTGAAAATACGAGTTAAGCGTACTAACTTTCAAAAGCAGATTGCTGAATGGAAAATTGAGTCTGTGGACCATCAGAACTCTGCGGAATCTGCCGTCATTAAATTGACTGAGAGCGAGAATAAAAAGCCAACAGAACCAGTTAAAAGTATTTTAAAATCACCGCTCAAGGAGGATGATAATTTAGGACGTAAAGTAAGATTTGATGAATCATGTGAGAAGTACAGCAACGAAAAATCGGGCAATTCTCAAAAGTATCCAAAAACGAAGTTTACGAGAAAATTGTTAGAAGCTACGAATAGTCGCCAGACCACCAATACTGCGGCAGCATTGGAACCGTCAGTAGATGTCAGAAAATCAAAGAAGAAGAAAATTAAAAAATTAAACGAGAACACTTTAAGGGCAGCTGAGACAATTATAATGTTCAGTAATATGAGTGCTGAATTGGCGCTAGCGGAACCGCCAACTTTGGAAGTGACGGAAAAATCGCAGAAAAAATTTCAAGAAAAGGAAGATGAATTAAACTCATTGCAAAATCACACGGATACTAGCCTTTTTGCCGAAATGCTAGAATCATCTATTAAGGAGCGTGTGTTGGAAACAGCTGGTATATTAAGCACAGAAGCGACAATAAGTATAACGCCACCTGTATCTACTACTACTCCAACTATAGCAACTGTAAAGCCCGCGCGTTTGTCTAAAAGTACTGAACCCGCTTTGTCCGTGCCTACATTGGAATCTGAAAGCGCTGTTGAACAGTATACTGCAGACATATTGCCTGAGTACGATGAGGCCGCAGCTAATAGCGAACTCTTGTTAGATAGTACCGAGGCCTTGAGAAGTTTGTCTCACAAAAGCAAAAAGATACCCAAGAAAACACCCACACCACCAGAGCCCCCAGATGGAAAATGCAAGCAAGACAGCAATGGTTATGGGGTAGACGGGGTGGCAGACGGTACTGATGTCGACGATGTACATGTATTTCAGGAAGAGCTTTTGCCTATACCTTCTGTGAATGAACACATTTTAGACGATTTAGTCAATGGAAGACCGCCATTGGGCTCAGGTGCTCCAATACGTGACGAATACATGCGCATTGAGGCAACAGCTACCGTCCCAGCGAATTTATTTAACGATGAAAGTCGTGATGTACCCACACCGATACCCACAGCGCAGAACAACCAAAACAACGAGACGATAGCGGATTCATCCGATCATGAAGTATCTTCAACTCAAGAAACTTTCGATATGCCCACCAAAAGATGCCATAGTCGTTCCAACTCTACATTAGATCTTAACGTAAACAATGGTAACAATTTGAATTTGTCAATCAATAAGACAAGCCCGAGCAGTAAATGCTTAGAACCAATGGATTCGTTAAGTCTAATCGGAACTGCCCCATTGTTGCTGCAAAATAATCAGGTCGACACCACGCATCATTTACCTAAAAACTGTTCTTTGGCTAAGCGGCGAATGCGTAAATCATCTACCCACGATGGTATAATGCAAAATGAAATAGCCGCTAATACCCCGTTTGGAAAGCGGCGCAAAACGTTGTGCCCCGAACCGAATGCGGAAAGTGGATTAAACGGTATGACTGACGTTGATAATGTAGGTGCTGTCATAGATGTCGTAGGAAGTGGAAACGAAAGCGCAGGTAACGGAGGAGGGACTTCACCTAGTACCACTACTTTTGCAGAGGAAATTGTACCATCCCAAGTGATGCGTAAGCGTAGCACGAAAAATTCAAAGGAACACCATCATAACAAGAAAAAATCAAAAGCTAATCACTCCTCCAATGATTCTAAAATTAAAACCGATACTCCTGTTATAAATGGAGACAATCCACAGCAGTCTCTACCCGTGACAAT